TTTAGATGATTTCTCTATAGTAGAAGTCTTTGTCATGTGGCTCAATTCGGTCCACAATTCTATCAGATTTTCCTGCAAGTCGGACGTCTCCCGTATAGATTTTCTTGACACCACAGTCTTTGTACATGAAGGACGGCTAGCGATATGTCCCTTTAACAAAGAAACCGACAGAAACTCATACTTACACTTTGCATCACATCACATAGGACATCTTAAGAAGAACTTACCTTATGGGCAGTTTTTAAGGGCAAGAAGGAACTCTACTTTGGTAGAGGACTTTGAGAAAGAAGCAGACAGACTCACAACATTGTTCACCCATCGAGGGTATCCTTTGCATATGATTTTAAAAGCCCAGTTTCGGGCACAACAGAGAGACCACAGGGAGCTGTTGCTTGACAAAGAAAAGAGGGAGCACAATGGTAGAATATGTTGGGCTATTGATTTTACGTCTCAGTCATATTCGATTAGAAATACAATATTGAAACATTGGCACATAGTGAGTGATATACCTGATTGTGAGACTCCTCCATTTATAGGTTTCCGCAGGACAACTAATATCAGGGCCATGATCATTAGGGCTGACTTAGTAGATGTGGAGAGAGGAAAAACCACTGCAAAGGGACATTTTAAATGTCACAAATGTGTAGCCTGTCCAGAGTCTTGGGAAACCAAGGTTTTGGATTTCCCAGAGGTTGGTTATAAAAAAGATATCAACTTTCTGTCGACCTGTTCAACAAAAGGAGTGGTATACCTTTTACAATGTGGCTGTGGGCTCAATTATGTAGGCAAATCCTCATGTGCACTAAAGACACGGGTATTGGAACATAAATCCCGTCTAAAACATAAATGCCCAGACGCTCTCCTTGTCCAACATTTTTCTGAGAAAGGACACAGCCCGGAGGACTTTAAATTTGTGGTATTGGAGGTGGTTCGCCCCAGAAAATATAACATATTGGACATGCATAAATTGTTACTGCGTAGGGAGGCATTTTGGATTTTTAGATTAAACACTTGTCAACCTGCTGGTCTCAATATGTCATTGGATTTGGCTTGTTTTTTGTAAGTATTCTGCTAGTGGTAGGTTGTTCTTTATAAGTATCCTTTATCATTAGAATTGTAAGTTTGGTAGATCTGTAGGAGTAAGTTTTAGTGCTCATGTAAGTTTCCTGTTTCTCTACCTTATTGCCTTGTCAATTGCAAGATATGGGGTTTGCACCTTTAAGATAGGCTATGATACAGATTTAAATAGGAGGTGACTATCTACACCTGTTAAGGCTTGTTATTGAACGTGTTCACCCGTGACTTTGAAAGAATTCGTCTTGCAAGAAAATGTTCTACCTTTCAGGGTAAGATGCTACATAATTTTTAATGTTGAATTCTGTTATATATTGTTAGATGTATAACTAATGAGAGTAATATGATTTATTTGTAGAAATTGAGGAATGATAATGAACAATGAATTAATCATGGCATGAAATTTGAAATGAGGAGATACAACTGTATGTATAACATTTTTAATAATAATAAGCTTTTTGGTACATTGTTCAAACAATGAGACAATTACCACACATTGGGGAATTTCACATTACCCAGTTTCACCCGGTTTCAAGCCGGTAATGATCCGTTTTGAAGTGAACCGGTATAGGGCTGCCATTTCACACATGGCTTTCCCCTTCCGGTAAAGAGCTGGATCTGAAGCGGTTTGCCATTTCAGACTGCACCGCTTTTTCCCGCTTTTCCCCCGCCGTTTTTTGCCCGTGCGGGCGATCTCCGGCTTTTTAAAAAAGCGTTTGCTTTAGACCGCTATAGCGCTATAGCAGTATAACAAAACACTCCATGCATTCCAATGGGATTGATATATTGCTATTCCGTTATAGCATTATAGCGCTATAGCGCTATAAAGCAAACGTTAAAAAAAAAGCCGGAGATTGCCCGCGCTGGCGAAAAACGGCGGGAAAAAGCGTATCGGAACCGGGAGAGGAAACTGAGGAGTACTTGGAAGCGGTTGACAGGTAAAACGCTTCAGCCCCATTTCCTAAATGGGACAGAAGCTATTGTGTATGAAATGACAAATATATTCCGGAAGGGAACTGGTTCTCAAACGGTTCTGTCTGAAATGACAGACCAGAAACCGTTTGGGAACCATTCCTCTTCCGGAATATATCGCCTGTCTGAAATTCCTCATCGTATTTTTTATAAAAGGAATTTGATGTTTGGAGAAAGTTCTCATGAAACGAAGGTTCTACTCCAGAGAATCTCGTCAACATCTGGAATTGAACATCTAGGATTGAAACATTATAGACATTGTATACTGGTATAACATTCTTTGTATTTTTGTATTACTGTAAGAACATAAGTACACTTTTGTTAGAATATAAGCACATTTGCACGATTGCAGCTTTCTTGTTATTTGTTGGTGACCATAGGAGCTGCACCCCCCTCTGTTTGTTGGTCAAGGAGCGTGGGAGCATTTGCCCAATCCCGCACTGCTGGCTCTCCAGTGATTTCTTTATTAGCTCAGAACACAGACAAACAACACACAGAACGACCCAACTGTGTACACTTTGAACCAGGAAAACCACGCCCCCTGGAACAATAACGTCCAATCAAAGATGAGTGCTTGGAACCAATGGGAATTGTTCCAGCCGAAAGTCAGAGTCGTTTCGGATTGGTCTGTTCGCAACAGCGACCAATCCGGTTGCGTAGATTTGGATGCTGAGAGTCTATGGAGCTTGTGACCTAAGCTCACGCTTGCAAAGTATACAACTAACCCAATACATAACACCGCCCATATGGGTTTTCCTTTGGACCCCTCTCCTAACCCATGGTGCCTTGCAGTGAGGATACACCAATTTGGAGTTTACCAGCTGCTGTCCTTTCTACAGTTTATATCTCCGGTGCCTGGCATTACATTTTATGGCACACATGGCCCGGCCAGACAAAGTGGCATTTGTGTCAGATCCGGCCCTTGTAACAAATGAGTTCGACACCACATGCCTAGCGATTAATATATTACCATAATAGCTGTACCAAAATCTGGAATAATTAAAAAAACACACACCAGCATTCAGTCAGAATAGACTTCCAGTAAAACAATGTCTAAAGTCATCTTCTAAAGTTGAAACTTTCCAGTTCATTCTGTGTCAGGAGAAAACCACAAAAGAACTGTTTATCATTGATCTATATAGTACATTCTTATCTCGGCCTTCTTCCAAGCAGCTGCTATGCAAAGCTGTTCCACTTTTAAAATCCGTATCAGTAGGTTAGGCCAGGACAGAATGTATTGGCCCAAGAGCACCCAGTGAACTTAGAATCATACAGTTGGAAGGGACCTCCAGGTTCATCTAGTCCAACCCTCTGCACAATGCAGGAAATTCACATAGATTCATGGAGGATCAGTCTATCAAATAGCTACTGTCGCGCTGGGGGTCCTCCCCAGAGGGGAGGGGTGCCTCAGCCGTGTCGCCTGATGTCCCACAGGGGAAGCCAAAGCCTCAGAATTGAAGTGGAGAGAGTTGCACCACTCTCAACAACACTTCTCGGAGTGACAGCCTACTCGGATTTTGCTCTCTCTATATCCCAATGCTCGTCACCACCTTTTCGGCTTCCCCGTATTTATCTCCCTCCACCCGGTGAACTCCACCCCTTTCCCCTGTCATCCGCTGATTGGGTAATTTCCCTGTCATTCTCTCTGGTCCCACCTCCCAAGTGGTGTTGCCTGGGCATCTTCGGGGGTGGGGTCACTTCCGGGAGATCCTGAAACTCCCCGTTTGCCTGCATGCTGTCCTGAAGGACTACGTCGGTCCCTCGGCGTTCGGGTACGTGCCAGCTTCCCCGCATCTCCTGCACTCGTGCCCGCCCCCGTCTTCTGGGCTTTCGGGACAACTGGGCTCTCTGAACCTCTTTCCGGGGGGTCTGTGGGTTCCCGAACTTGTGGAGGCTCCGGCGCGGGACAACTAAGGAAGGACATGATCGAGATGGAGAGAGTTGAGAAAGAGAACTTTCCCCCGAAAAACTAGAACTCGGGGGTATCCAATGAAGCTGATGGGCAGTAGGTTCGGGATGGACAAAAGGAAATAACTCCTTTACACAGAAGAGAGTGATTATAATGTGGGATTCACTGCTAGAGGATATAGTGATGGCCACAGGAATCAACAGCTTTAAAGCGGATTAGGTAGATTCATGGAGGATCAGCCTATCAATGGCTACTAGCCATGGTGGCTGACGGGAACCTCCACATTCAGAGGCACTAATCCTCTGAATCCCAAAGCCAGGAGGCAATGTCAGGGGAAGGCCTCAGCCTCATCCCTGCTGTTGTGAGACAGGATGCTGGACTAGATGAACCACTGGTCAGGAGCAATGTTCCCTCTAAGCTGTGGAGTCTTGTGAGCAAAAATTCTACTTGGTGAGCTACTGGTATTAAAGTTGTGAGTGAGCGATGTGGCTACTGCATAAATCAGCTTGCTCTGGAGCCCTCCTCCCTGAGCGAAGACCAAAATCTGTGAGCTGGAGGATAAAAAGCTGTGAGCTAGCTCACACTAACTCAGCTTAGAGGGAACACTGCTCAGGAGGTCCAGCAGTGGGGCCAGATGCATTTGTGTGCGGCGGAGGCGGGGAGCGTTGACTCTTGTTTCCCAAGAGCACCGCACGAATGGAACTCGGAACCTAGGGCAGGGTTTTGGGAGGCTATTCTGCGGGACGCTTTGACGTGGTCAGCTTCCCAGCGGAGATCGGAGTCTCTCCTCCGAGGCGCCAGAATCCAGCCGCAAACGCAGCCAGCTCCTCGGCGGCGCTAGGTCCGGATTCCCCCGGCGGACGCAAAGGAACACTCGATGCCCGGAACGAAGAACAGCAACCTCTGCCGTTACCATGGTAGCGAGGGACGCCATCCCTCCTCCCCCGCCTCCCGCAAGGACCGCCGCCCTCCAAGCCCCGCCCGTCTCGCGCGCATGCAGATTCGGCCGATGGGAGCCGATTCCTATTGGTTTGCTCGTGGAGCTCTCGCGAGAAGTGGCGCGCGGCCGTGTCCTAGCGATCGGGCCCAAGGAGGCTGAGCTTGGAGGTAACGCGTGTTCGCTGTGCCGAGGCGGGAGTGGGGGGGTGTTAGCTGATCGTAGAGACGCCGTGGTGGGACTTTGCTCTCTTCTGGGGGACGGGAGGAAGGCGGCCCTGGATGCGTGTGGTGCCTACTCTTAAGCTGTGGAGTCGTGTGAGCGAAGATGCTACTTTGTGGGCTGGTGGCCTTCAAGCTGCGAGCCAGCCCTGTGGCTGCTGCAGGAAATGAGCTTGCTCTGGAGCCCTCCTTCCTGAGCGGAGGCTAAAAAAATCTGTGAGCTGGAGGCTAAAAAAAAACTGTGAGCTGGCTCACACTCACTCAGCTTAGAGGGAACACTGGTCGCAAGTTCCAATGTTCCCTCTAAGCTGTAGGGTCTTGTGAGCAAAAATTGTACTTTGTGAGCTACTGGCATTAAAGGTGTGAGCGAGCGATTGGGCTGCCGCACGAATTAGTTTGCTCTGGAGCCCTCCTTCCTGAGCCGAGACAAAAATCTGTGAGCTGGAGGCTAAAAAAATCTGAGCTGGCTCACACTCACTCAGCTTAGAGGGAACACTGGTCGCAACCAATGTTCCCTCTAAGCTGTAGGGTCTTGTGCGCAAAAATTGTACTTTGTGAGCTCCTGGCATTAAAGGTGTGAGCGAGCGATTTGGCTGCTGCATGAATTAGTTTGCTCTGGAGCCCTCCTTCCTGAGCCGAGACAAAAATCTGTGAGCTGGTGGCCAAAGTATTTGAGCTTCAGTTTCATTATCTGGCCCTCCAGGGAGCAGTCAGGGTTGATTTCTTTTAGGATTGACTGATCTGATCTTCTTGCAGTCCAAGGGACTCTCAAGAGTCTTCTCCAGCACCATAGTTCAAAAGAATCTATTCTTCGGCGCTCGGCCTTCCTTATAGTCCAACTCTCGCAGCCATACATGACTACTGGGAATACCATTGCTTGGACCATGCGGACTTTTGTTGGCAGGGTGATGTCTCTACTTTTTATCATGCTGTTTAGGTTTAGGTTCGTAGGACAAACATATTAGGAACTGTCTGGCCGATGAGGTAGGATCATATGATGTGTCCTTTGAGGAATTGGCATGACTTCTGTGCTTTTGCAAAAAATGTTGCCTGAGGGAAGGGGTTGAATAATCACCCTAATTAAAGAGAGGTCATCTTGCCACACTGGAAGCCATGCGATGTGTGTATTATTTTTAAAGGGGGATGTTTGACTAAACGTCATTCATTTTTTAAAACACTTGTCGCTTATATAGTTCGTAAAATTCCTTTCCCCCCCCCAGTTCTTTTTTAATTGATTTCTCCGTTTTTACAAATTCATTACATTCCATAGATTTACATCTCTTACATATTTGCGTCTACATTTTCCATAGTCAACCAATTATAAAGACTTGCCCATCTTCCCCCAGAAAACACTGTCATCTTTACCTTGTAGAGTTAAACTCAGCTTCTCCATTTCTGCCACCTCTAGTACTTTATTAATTACCTCATCTTTAGTGGGAATTTCCTTTTGTTTCCAATATTTGGCTAATACTCTCCTGGCGGATGTTAAAATATAAATCATCAGCTATTTCTCCTTTGAATTGAGAACATAAGAGACGCCAATGTTGGATCAGGCCAAAGGCCCATCCAGTCCAACACTCTGTGTCACACAGTGGCCAGAAATACCAGTGCCATCAGGAGGTCCACCAGTGGGGCCAGGACATTAGAAGCCCTCCCACTGTTGACCCCCCCCCAAGCACCAAGAAGACAGAGCATCCCTTGCCCCAGACAGTGTATTCCATCTATAAGAACACAAGAGAAGCCAAATGTTGGATCAGGCCAAAGGCCCATCCAGTCCAACACTCTGTGTCACACAAGGGCCCAAAATACCAGGTGCCCTCAGGAGGTCCAGCAGTGGGGCCAGGACACCAGAAGCCCTCCCACTGTTGCCCCCCCCCCCCGCCCCAGGCACCAACAACACAGAGCATCACTTGCCCCAGACTGAGAGTTCCTACTTATACCTTGTGGCTAATAGCCACTGATGGACCTCTGCTCCATATGCTTATCTAATTCCCTCTTGAAGCCGTCCATGCTTGTAGCTGTCTGGTATAATATTGAATAAAGCTATTTCTGGAGACAATTCCTACTTTGTATTCATTATTTCAGATATTATTTTCTGTATCATTTCCCAATACTTCTGTACTCCGCTGCAGAGTGCCGCTGATGTAGTTCGTAAAATCGCCGCTTCAGCGTGTGCAGAGCAAGCTTGAGGGGAGGGTTTCAGTCCCTCCCATCTACCCTCTTTTTGGCTCTCCTTCTGGCTAGTGTCTCTTACCTGTCAGAGACCCAGAGCAATGCCCTTCCCAGTGGGGAAATCTCCACTCCCCCCCCCCGCCTCATCAAGGTGGTCCTGCCTCCCTTTTCTTCTCCTCACCGGCTGGGTGGGAGAAGCCTCTTGGGACAGCTGTCTCTGCCAATTCTCTGCTCGTCCCACAAGTCCACGCCCCCTTGAGGAGCCCCTAATATGGAGTGGATATGGAGAGCCGGTTTGGTGTCGTGGTTAAGCGCGCGGACTCTAATCTGGGAGACCCGGGTTTGATTTCCCCCACTCCTCCACTCGCAGCTGCTGGATGACCGTGGGCAAGCCGTCGTTCTGTCAGAGCTGTTCTCGAAAAAGAGCCGTTTCTGTCAAGAGCTCTCTCATAGAATCATAGAATGTTAGAGTCGGAAGGGACCTTGCAGGTCATCTGGTCCAACCCCCTGCACTCTGCAGGAGTATACTGAAAGATAGTCCTACATACCTACAACATACCCAAAAGATGGTCGTCCTGCCTCCGCTTGAAAACGTCCAGCGAAGGAGCATCCACCACCTCCTGAGTCTTGCAATCCGGAGCAAGAGAGAATAGATCTGCTCCATCTTCTACATGACAGCCCTCTCAGATACTTGAAGACTGCAATCGTGTCCCCTCTAAGCCTTCTCTTTCCCAGGCCAAACAGACCCAACTCTTTCAGCCTTTCCTCCTAAGACTTGGATTCCAACCCTCTCACCATCCTGGTTGCCCTCTTCTGGACACGCTCGAGCTTGTCAACATCCTTCCTAAAATGTGGTGCCCAAAACTGGACACAGGACTCCAGGTGGGGCCTGACCATAGCAGAATAGAGCGGAACGACCACCTCCCTTGATCTGGACACAAGGCTTCTGTTAATGCATCCTAAGATTGCATTCGCTTTCTCTCAGCCCCACCTACCTCACAGGTTGTCTGTTGTGCTCGGGACATACGGAATATGCTGCTTGTGGTTGTGAATTGTTACTCCTGCCTTTCCCACCTTACAGAGTGTCTGTTGTTGGAAGGGGAAGGAGTTTGTAAGCTGCTCTGAGACACCTTTGGGTAGTGAAGGGTGGGGTATAAATCCAATCTCCTCTTCTTCTTTCCCAAATGCCCAGGGTGCAAGGCACACCCCAACTCTTCTTGAGTGAGTCCAGGAGAATGGACTCCAGACAGTGTTTTTGATGGTATTCACCTACCTGCTTGTATCCTGCCGCCCTGCTCCCAGCTGTGTTCAAATGCTCTTGTTTTGCATTTCAGATGTCCTGTCCCCAGATCTGAGTTGAAAGAAAAATTGGCCATGGGTCTCTCTGCATCTTCTCCTTCGGCAGCAATCCAAGCAGATGTATCTGAACAGCCTCATACTGCTCCTTCGCAATGTCCCATGCACCAGAAGGAAGCGGAAGGTAACTTCCTCACTGAGCTAAAACAAGCAGAGCTTTTGAAAAGGAGTTCTACAATGGTTTGTGTACAGAGAGTTTGCATGTTATCACCATGTGTTAATATGGCAAGGATTTTAGGCCCTAAATGTGTAGCTTGGGGGCAATTTTGATGCTGAAATGAAAAGGTAACACCCCCCCCACTGAGACATACCAGCCCATCAGGTGAAGAATTAGCCACCTATTAACCTGAAATCAGGGCTGATTTCCCACAAGCTCGTTCCTCCCTTTGGGATCGTATGTGTCAATTTCACACCATGTGCTGTGCGGCCACATTTTGCTCCGCAGCTTTTCCTGATTTCCCCGTGTCTACTCAATCCTGTTTTTTGAGGATTGAGTAGACGCCGGGGAAATCAGGCGAAGCTGCGGACCAAAATCCGGCTGTGCAGCACATGTTGTGAAATCGACACGTACGATGGGGCAAAGGGAAGAACGAGCGCGGAGGAGCAGCTTGTGGGAAATCAGCCCAGGTCTTTAACTTCAGCGGTAGCTGACTGGAGAAAACTGATTTGTCAGAAGGCAACACCCCTACCACTCAGGCTCCACTGGGCTGTTTTGGATTGCTAGCTATTGGAGGGGGAATGTGCAGATCTGTCCTCACAGAGGAGGGAGAGCTTGTACCTGAATAAAACTTGGTCTTAAAGGTGCCACTGGACTGTTTTGGATTGCTAGCTATGGGGGGGGGGGAACGCGCAGATTTGCCCTCACAGAGGAGGGAGAGCTTGTACCTGAAGGTGGGC